AGGAATGACTAGGGATTTAGTGCCTACCACAGAGATAGCTGTCCCAAGTTTGATTTGATTAACCTTATATTTGGTTTTGTTCAAAAGCCATTATTTTTTTGTCTTTTTCATCATTGTACGCATTATGTTATACTGAGTACATTTATCTTTACAATTTTGGGGCACAGTTACAGGTTATTGCCAGATCTCTAATTAAGAGGTGTTCTACGTAAGAGGAACAGAAGGAAGGTGACATTAATAAGCATCACTAGTCCATTATTACTTTGGCACCATCAAGTGTCAACACCAAATGCAGGCAGGAAGGGTTATTGTAGGGAAGGGCACTCATGGCATTGGCTGGTTTTAATGAGTCAGACCCACAATAATGAAGGCATCTCAAGGAGATGGGAAGTGGCGGGGAGTCCAGATGCCATGGAAAAATCTAAGACGTTTCTAAAGATTTTTAAGATGCATCAGCAGTTGGATCAAAGCTGGTGAGGAGGGAGCTGGCTTGGAAGTATTTGGGAGCTTCCTATGAGTTAGTGGTTGCCTTTGGGTTATTCCATGTCTTCAGGTGAGTCCAGCACCCCAGTGGGCAGTGGTGCAAGAGTTAGCAGGAGGGCTGATCTCTGGAGATACTGGCAGGACTCTCAGAAGCAGCAAGGTTAGAGCCAGAGAGGGTGAGAAACTTGGCATTTTGTTCTTCCCTTGCATTATCTGATTACAATTTTTTTCATAGAATTCTTTACTTCTATAGCATAAATCCTTTTGTCATTTTGTGATCTTACTGCCAGCCTGCAGTTAAGTGTGATCTCAGGAGAAGTGGTATTCCAGGCCTCATGTTTGGCAGGGGGCTGGGGCCCTAGAATTCTTTTACCACCCGAAGTGGAAGAACCCAGAGCCAGCAAAGAGTCCCTTGCTGGGAGGGGAATGTAACCCCCCCCCACTTACTAGGACTTTTTTTCTGTTGCAAAGAAATCTCTTCCAAAGCTGTTGTTTCAGGCTGTGCACAGACTTAGGAAAATAACAGGTAGATCTGCTATTCTTTGCATACAAGCACCTCAGCTGTGTTATTAAATGTTCTGTACTATGCTGCAATTAGTCTCACTTACACAGAGCTCCCTAAAAGCTTTGGAAGCCAGGCATCCTACAGCAGCCATCTGGGTTATTTGATCTCAGTCAATTAGTTAGCCACCTTAGTCTGAAATCAGGTAGAAAGGCCACACTGTACAACTAACTGGTTCGGAAAAGTATCAGGCAAGGATGTTTTATTTATTTTTGTTGGATTAACTGGACAAGCTTTCAGGAATCAAGTGTCCTTCCCCAAGTAGGCAACTCTACCTTCTCAGCTGCCATGAATGGGCTTGCAATAGAGCATTTCCCTATAGTTAGGCAAAAGGAGTTTTTGCTTCTAGTTTGGGAAAAGGTTTGTATAGCTATAGTCTCCCTATTTTGTAGGGGGTAACTGATGCACTTCGTTGCAAATCAAAATGACACCCCCCCCCCCAAAAAAAAGAAACACAAAACAAAACCAGTTCAGTGACAACTATACAATCAGTTTAAGAAAAAAATAGTTCAGTTTTTTTCCTCAGTTCTCAGATGGATAAAACAGGGAGCTTTGGGGAAACAGTAGAGGCCAATTACTGTGGTACCTTGGTGGGAAGGGGGTGAGAAAGGAGAAACATGCGCTTCTTACCGGAGGTTTGATCATCTCAAAACATTTTGTACGTATCTGCAGGTAGGATATTGTGTGGAAGAATTGATACTGAAATTGCATACTATTGTCCACGTGAAATTAGTGGGCACTTGGGGACACCAGGCTGAATGTGTAGAGACAATAGTACCACAAGATTTAAATGTTAGAAGTATTTATTAGGGCAATGTACTATTTGAAATACAAAGCACCAAAGTTTAAATAACTTGCTGTCATCTAAATATCATCCGGCAGTAGCTGCCAAGTGTGTACAGACATCTGTTTTTATTAGGTATACAGCCCAAGTTCATCTTCACAATGCATGACAAACAAATGCTATGGATTACTGGCTTACAGAGAGGCAAACTCCTATTTCAGAGGTCTTGGCACAATGTCTTTACAATATTTATACTTTCTGTTAGAGTCTTCAGAAAAATACTATAATACAATACCTCTCACCACTGGCACATTACACTTCAGAATATTTACAGCATGTAAGACAACCTCCTAATTCAATTTAGTAATTTTATTTGGCCAACTTCCCCCTCCTTCCCACCTACAGATGTTTGCTTTGCTTAACAACTGGATAAGTGTATTTCTGGATAAGAGAAAAATAGCTTGCCTAGCAAAACATTCAACCGGGAATGAAACACAATGGCTATGGCTATTAGGAACTTCACCTAATGTAGATAGCCTTTATCAACAAAAAGTGTAAATGAACTGCTGCTGAAAAACAGCTCAAGGGCATAGATGGAACTAGGATGAATTCAGTGCAGCTTCAGAAGCTATCTTGTTGCACCCACTCTCAACAAGTAACTTTCTTCATATAGTTTTAAAGGCCAGAATTGTAAGCGTTTCCACATACCTATCTAAAGTTACAAGAAGCTTTTACCATGATGAATTCTACCCAAAATGAAAAAAAAAAACAAAAACAAAAAACAAAAACAAAAAAACAAAACACAAAACACCACTCCAGAAAAGAAGCTTCTAGTTCTGCCATTAAAAACATTTTTTCTACAAGCAGACAGTTAAATGGGAGACAATATTTGAGAGATGCTTCTTCTTTAAGTTATAAGAAAAAAAAAAAAAAAAAAAAAAAAGTGTAAAACTTGTTTAAACAAGAGGCCTCCCAACAACTACCAAACCAGACACCTTAATTGTCATGTCATTAGTCATTCTGGGTAGCCATTAAGGCTGTTCCGTTAATTGAACATTTAACCCGTGCTGCCCCCCTCCCCAGCACTTTTCTTTCAAGGGATGTTGTTGCATTCAATTACTACACAGCTTTTATTAATAGATTACTATTACTTTAATGGCATGGAGCATTCTACATTTAAAGTAGAAAAATATTTTATTTGTAAACATGTTTAGCTGTTGCTTTCCCATATAAATAGGAAAAAGAGCAACTTGCATTTTTTTGAGCCAGATTTAATGTTCCATTTGAAACTTTTCCTGTGGCAACACTTCTACAGGGAAATAGATTTTAAATGCCATTGGCATTTGCACTGAAGTACAGTGGCAGAAGGGCTTCACTTGCACTATCAGACAGCTGCATAACAAAACAAAGAACTTTCTTTTTTCTTTCTAGACTTAAACTTGAGAACACACTTTGGAAGAGGAAAGCAGCTCTTTCACAGCATGGTAAAGAACTAAGATTTAATTAGAAATCTAAACAAAGCTATTTTTCATGTTGTCATGTACATGCACTTTTTTCCTTTGTAAATGAAACATAATATACACAGGACTGAAGCAATAATATATATATAATTTAAACATATCCTCCAGCTATAAACCATATATACAGAGAGAGAAAAATGTATATACAACCATAGAACAACATTTAATTACAAGTTAATTCAATTGAAGCACTGAGGAAATCATACTGGATCAAGAAAATGAAACTGAAGGGATCTTATGTTGTTTCCAGAAAATAAGCTGTAAGTAGCTGTGTTCACAAGCTTCATGAAAATACACAGATCATTTTTAGTATAGGTACATTAAAAAAAAAGATATTTCTCCCCACCCCCAAGCTCTCTGCTCCTCTGGACTCCTTCTCAAGTATGGAGGTAGATTTTTATTTATTTGTTTTTATAGCTGTGTTCAGTTATTGCACCACTTTAAAGTGTAACATTTTACATTATTTAATGAAAATGAATCCCATAAAAAGCTTACTTAAAAGGTATAATCATTTTGTGCATGCAGGTAGCCATACCAGTCAAATCTACATGCACTGGAAGGAGAACACATCCCTTTATATTGAAATTAATTATTACTGAAGGAGAGGAAGCCTAGGTGGAAGCCACACTTGAGTCAACAGGTCCATTTTATACCACTGGCTTCTTCTAACAGGTTACATATGTTTTCAGTACCACTTCTTGTTTCTCACTGCAACCCTGTTGCTATACATAATAATAAATGGCAAAAGCTTTCTTTATGTACCATTAAGCTGGTGGTTATTAAAAAAGGAAGCAGTGAATGACTCCTAGTGGAGGGCTCGATCCTGATCTTGAATTTAGGGGTCTTGTAACATCAGCTGCTACACACAAGCACAGTAACCGATTACAAGTTAGGTGCATTTAAAACACTTCCTCAGATCATGACAAAGCCCATCCACATTTTCTGAAATGGAATGTGCAAGTTAAAAACTCCTTTTGTTAAAGAAGGCCAATAGAAAAAAATAAAAGAAACCCCAAAACACACAAAAGCATACACGTTTCTATAAAACTGAAAGACGACTTTGATAGCTGGAATTTTGCATCACATTCTTAAACATAACCCCCATGAATTATGAGAGTGCAAGGAAGGTTATACCAAGTACCACTTTTTAGATGTTAATTAAACAAGACATCCATACAACATATAGCAAAACTAAAATTCACCCAGATTAGGCATTTCAGTTTGTACTGTGTTCTATTAGCCCACTAGTTTCCACAAATTAAGATTTTTTTAAAAATTAGAGGCACTCAAAGGAAGAGAAATGACTGTCAGTATTACAAAATGACAACACAATCTGGTGTGTTCTCAGGAATAGCTGAAAATAAAACAGCAGAGGTGTTGTAAATCTCGTAGCATAGGGGCAGTGTGGATTTTAGTGGGCACATAATACCATATGAAGACAGACAAAATGTTGCTATCAGTGTCTCACTTTCATAATGAAGTCAGACAAAATAAAAAAAAATGTATTGCAAGCAATTCACTTTCAACCAGGGTTCTAGTTTATGAAAAACTAGAGAGAGAAGTTAACAGGATTTAGGACCGCCTGCAAACCCCAATCCCAGGGTTAATGTGTCAATAGGAAGCCGACTGCCAGCATTTGGTTTTGGTATAGGAACTTAAAATGTAATGCTCCTGGAATAAATAGATTTAATTTATTCATTACATTCCTCACTTGTCACCACATAAAGTGGCGTTTTAGGAAAAAAAGGAGTCCTAACATTGTACCCTTAACTTCAACAATCTTGTGGTGGCTACTTTCCTCTGATGAAAGTAATAACACACAAGGGTTAGGTGAGACCCCCATATTAGGGGTCCAGCTCTGCAAAGTGGTGAGAACCCCTGACCTGAAATAATTTAACTGGGAGTTGAAAGCACTTTGTACCTGGCAAAAAGTGCTCACAGTACCTTGCAAGATCAGGACCTAGGCAAATTAGAAAGCCCCATATACACAGGAGATCAAGCGCAAAGTCTAGCAGGTGCCAGAATACACCAAGGCATTTATGGGGGGGGAAGGAGAAGGGGGCAAACAAACCAGCCCCCTACCTAAAAAGCAATGTTTCTTTGAGAGTATGGTCTGCAATTAGGAAAATGTATCGTTTATACACCTGGCTACTGCATAGCATCTGCAATTGCATAGAATGATTTCAGTGCTGAATTTATAGCTAACCTATGCAAGTCTTTAAGCTTTTGTGAGTCTCATTTGTCACCATTTGATATCCAAGCTGTTCACAGTTTGATTCATGGCATGGTATTTGGTGTGCAGAGTTTCTTGGACCTTCTTGGAATCCATCCCTTCAAGCCAGTCCTGGTACAGCTTCTGCACATACATGTTGGTTTCTGGAAGCCTTACAGGGACAGCAGCATACATTTCCTCCATCTGGTTAAGCAATGCTTTGTCTAGTTTTCCATCTTCTGTTTGGGCCTGGCCTTTTCCGTTTAAGCACCCTGAAAAGAAAGGCCCACAGTCAGGATTAATTTGTTTGAGGGTGGAAAATACTAAGGCTGTGTGAAATGTGGACAGCCATTCTGCATTGGTGTTGTTTCAGAACCTGAAACACTGAATCTGAAATCTAGACGGAAGGCTTCAAAACATTTTGGAGAATTTCGGAGTTTCAGAGCTGGGCTTGCACAAGCAAACAAAAACTAAGGGGAAGGGATTGCGATAACTGCTCTAGCTCCCAGTTTGATTCTCCAGCTCTCTGATCATTCCCCCAGCTCTTCCTGGTGGGGGCCTGGGCCCCTGGATCTGCGCACTGGGTTTTAGCAGGCTGCTGCTGCAGGCTGGGGCAAGCACCAGGAAGATTGTAGTGCTGTTGCTGGCCCCAGCCTGCTGAAATCCAGCATGCAGATCTGGGCATCTGCACCCCCTGGAGAGAGCTGGGGGAATCAAGCTGGGGAATCCCTGCTGTTTGACCTGGCTCTGCAGGGAAGAGAGATCCATGCCAGCATCTTCTTGCCGCCGCTGCCTGCCCCACACAGCCCCATGTCACCACATAGGGGTGCGTGGCAGGCAGCAGCAAGGAGACCCCGCAGAGCAGAGTTGCACAACAGGGACCAGCAGGCTTGCTCGCCACTCTGCGCTGCTTCCCTACTTTGTGACCCAGCATGACAGGGATCAGAGATCTGCATGGGGGTCTCCTCATCTGCATGGAGGGCAGCAGCCCTCCCCTGGATGAGCCACCCATGGCCCCATTCTGCTCCCTGCGGGGCCCTGCAGCTCCCGGCCCCAAGCCCTGCCTGGCTAGGTAGGGCTGTGTGAAGCTTCCCTTGCAGCCTGTTGAAAACAGATTTGGAGGAGACTTGGCAGAGCCAAGTCTTGGAAACAGATTTCGGCCAAAACAAAGCAGGACAGCAATCTGAAACAAATCACTGTCCTCCAAAATGGCCAAATCTGAAACTAAATAGAAACACAGCTGTTTTGCACAGCCCTAAGAAATACTATGACTACATACTCATGTTTGTTTTTTTAAAAACCTTGAACTCTCAGCCTTTATGCAGGTACCAGTCCTATCAACACTGTTAAAGGTCTCCATTCACCTCTAAAATGATTCCATGACAAATTATATTGTCCTATTATTGTAGATGCAGTTTCTGTATCAAACTGCAGCAGAAAGATTTTATAAAGAGAGAGATGTGGATTAAGTTCCATATTCTTATCTTGCCCTCAGCTACCATTTCAGAGGATTTCCCTGAAGCTTTAATGTGGTAAAAAGAATGACCCTCATCCCTAAACTAGTGGTTTTGTAAGTAATCGAGGCGAAGATGTGATAGATATTGACTTGTCCAGAGTGCCAGCTATAAACAGATTTTTGAAGGTTGATCTCAATTAAGACGGTTATGTTTTGGACCATTCATTTCTGTTAGAGACACCTACCACAACACAGTCGGCTAAAAACCAGAACAAGAACCCAAGAAACGTCTACAGCCCCATCACCCTTGTACTCAGAACAGAAAAGACTACTGTGGGTCCAATACTATTCTTACCTCCAGGACATGCAAGAACTTCCACAAAATGATACAAGAACTTCCCCTTTTTTAATTTCAGGACCATGTTTTGAATGTTTCTGAAGCCATAAGCTGCTGCAAAACGCAACACTGTCTCACCATCTTTTTCCAGGGCAACTTCCTGGAAGTCCTTGTTTCTGAAGAGATATACAGACAAGATTTTGAACCATCAGATTACTAACAGAACACAAGCATTCAGCACATGCCCACAGGAGAGGAGTGAACACAGGTAACATCAGGATTAACATGCAAAACTTCCAGGTTCTAAATTCTGCGAGTTAAATAGGGGCAGAGTTTGCAGCACAAGAATCTATTTTAGCTTTAAGTGGATATGAATCAGTAATAAATCCAGAATAAAAAATGATTTCCCAGTGGAGAATTTAGTAGTTTATAAAAAGACAGTATTCAAAATGATGCTTTAAGCAGGTTAAATAGGTAGCTGCTGCATTTCAGTTGACAGTAACCTATTACACTAATCCACATATATCCAAGTACAATTTACTTTAGTGCTTTGTAGGCGATTTCATCAACATCCATATCAAAGAGCTCCTTTGCAGCATATTTAAAGATGTGCTCTAGGTAACCATCAGATCTCTTCCCATCATGTCTTACTATATCCACTTCTTTTATGTCACCAAACCTTAGAAGACAAGGAAAGGAGAAAAAAAGTCAACTTAGTTTGATTACTGCACTCCAAGAAAGAGATTACCTCTTTCTACCCTTTTTCTTGACAGTAGGTGTCAACCTGGTGGTAGCTCAAGGGTAATAATTTCTTCCTGTGCTCTCACTTCTGCTGAAAAGGCAGCTGTACTATCTATCCTGAACTCAAACCTGGTCATCTCAGCACAACCTCTAAGACACTGACTGCCTTTAGAAAGATGGTTCCCCGTTGCCTTGGCAGCAAGCTGAGCCATAGCATTCAGGCACAAACTGTTAAGTGTAGTTATTTTTCAAACATCTAAAATTAGACCCAAGGACCAAGATACAGGCATATGGTATGCCCACCCCACCTTTATGCCAGATTAATAATGTTAGGTTTATTTACTTTGGGACTTTTGTTTTGTCATTACTAGATGTCTGTTTGGCAACAGCATGCCCCAGACTTGTCTAACTGCAATCCATGTTGCCATTCTCCACTTAAAATGTATGGGATTTGCATCAGTAGTTTAGAATAAAAAAAAGCAACAATCTAACAAGCAACTATTATACTACAATTTGAATTGTATCATAGGAGTTTATTACTATTTAAAAGGAGTTTACACTTTAAGTTCCTGTTTAAAGTGAAATGCCATTAGAGAGAGTCTCCTCTCACATCAGTCCTGTTCCTTTGCTTTTTAGATAGAGGAAAAAAACCCCATAACATAAGTAGAGTTAAGATTAGTGATGTTAAATCTTGTTTGACAAACTATCACATGCTCATTCCACTTACAAGAAGTGCTACTTTAAGAAAGTCTGATCTTCAACACCAATTTAAATCAAACAAGAACGTGACCACCTCTCTAAGGCTACATCTTTAGAAAGCTGGTTCCTTTAAGTCACAATCGATGCAGGTCCTTTGGCAGAAGTAACAGCAGAAGCTGTAGTATGCACAGGACCAAGGCATTCTTACCATAGTGTCATTTAAACACCCAGTGTAGGAAAGATATAGGTGGGATACAATTTGAGAGTGGAAGAGATTTGGGGGAGCTTCCTAATTTATTGCAGGAGAGTTTGTTTACTGGGCAGCTCTAGAAAGAAACTCACTATGATGTTCTACACATAGTAAAAATAGAAATTTATCAAGATACTGATTTGAATTCATATGTTCTACACAGGCTAGGACAGAGTAACCTTTGAGACTCTACCTTTGTAACCAAGACACCTAGGAATTAAGTCACCGTGCACAATCATTTTTGCACAAATCATGTGGTAAATAACCAAATTAGCAAAGCACTAAATGACGTCTTCTCTGCTGCATCTTAACTCAAAATACTTATTTATTTTATCTAATCTACATGAAACAGTTATTTTGCTCAGAAAAATACTATTTACTTATCATTAAGTCTGAAAGCAATATGAAAGTAGAAATGTATCATCATCAAGGAACTGGATTTGGTAAATACCACCAATATTGTACCAGCACAACCGGGGGGAAGGAGGGGTGTTAGGCACTGGAAGGAGAATGAGACCAAGTGGGAATGAATGGTTCACTTTTAATACACATTCACTTTCAACTATGCTACAGCTTTAAGGTATGCAATTGTGAGAATACCCACCCCCCAGAATACCCAGAGCACCAGTTGCACTGAACTGATGATGTAGTGTATTAAAGTCAACAGCTCTACCCCTTTACTACTGCATAACATGACACACACACCCACCCACCAACCCTTCTTGGATTCTTAAAATCAAAATTTTCAGAGATGAAATGCAGCAAACATGCAATCCTGGCACAACACACATTTCTTTCTTTCAAATTAGTCTTAAAAAATTAAGAAGCAATTCATTTAGGAGGGGGCTGCTGTTTTAAGAGATCTGTTTTGGATTAGCTGATCTGCTGCACTGTAATTTTTTTTTTTTCTTTCCCTGATAACATGAAAATAAGGGAAGTGTTTGTTTTTTGGTCACAAGACAGTGCAGAGGGTTTCAATGTATTTAGGTTTTTGTATATACAGGCTTCTTTTGAGAAAAAAAAGCTTGTTCTTTTAAAAAGTATTAAGTTTACATAGAGTTTGGTGCATGGCAAAAATCCATTATCTGATCACCAGAATACTGACAAATTACAGCAAAAATCTACTTACAGACTGTCTACAGCTACTTCAGTCACATCTGTCATAGATATATTTTTCTGCTCCATTATTTGGACAATTTCACCTGAAAGGAAATAGGCAACATTTCACCTTCAAAACAGGATACAAGCAAACGGAGTTGGTAGGCATCTACAGAAAACACAAGATGCCTGGTGTTAAAACCCCAGATGCGTCTTGCAAATTCTCCCATCTGTGCACCAAAATATCCATACATTATATAAATCACTGCATATTCTGAATGCATAGCCTAACCAACTTGGTGTTCTGACAATGTTTGAGTGACACCAGTTCCATGAGTACAGACTCTGCAGGGAGAATGTAATCCATGTTTTAAAAGCTCCTTAAAAGGATACAAAAAATAAATTTTCTAATCATAAAGTTGTCATGACTTTCAAGTGCAATATCTTAGCACCTTCTAAGGATTGCACCAAATTCTCCCTCTCTCAATGGAGCATGAAATCTCTCCATCCCAGTGAATGGAAAGCTGTCTTTTCCAGCCCCAAAGAACTGTCAACCTATGCCATGCTCAGTACCAAATATACACACTTTGAGCTTCGAGATACCATAGCATTTGGGAGAAATTTCCACACTTCAAGGAAAAGGTCAGTGCATTTTTGTGGCAGGCTCATCTTAAAAAGACAAAAGTCTCCCAAAGGCTGCCTGGAATGTCAGTAACTGTCTCAGGGAAGATATATTAATAGTTTGTTGGGCAGCGTATAGGAGAGAAGGGCAAAAGCACATGGTATACGCCTGTCTGCAGCTTTCAACGATGTGAAGAATCTCACTGCAGTGTAATTTTAGCTACTTTGTTCTCCCCTTATTTCATCCAGACACAGGCTACTAAATTTTGCTCTTTTACCTAATCCAATCTGTATTAAATGCATAAGCACCAAGTAAACAAAAAAAGGTCCACTTCCGAAAACAAAAAAATACAACCTTATTCTTACAGCTATCACACGCTAAGTGAACAAAAGAGAGAGGGCCCAGCATAACGTCAGTTTAAATAATTGATAGTCCACGTGCAATTTTACAAAGGAACGAGCTGAAGAGATGTTTAACCTGATGTTAGCACACAATCGACGTCCTGAGAATTATACAAGGCAGTGTAAAAATCTTCCCGCAAGGCTTCCAGTTTTTTGTCATAGCAAGGTGCCACAATTATATGGAACATTTTATCTGGAGACAGATTCTGTGGAAAGGAAAAGGGCACATTTCAATTCCTTCCAGAAGGCCGATAATGCAGGGAGATAAATATGGAGGAAAATATAGCCACAGAACACAACTGGGGTTAATGCTGGATCTGAAACTAATTACAAGTCACAACATCTGGGGCAAGCTTTGTTTTTTTTGTACTGAAGAATCAATTGTATTACAGCAGCAACCAAACCATGTCATAATAATACTGTAGTTTATTTCTTTGAAGGCAAGTTCTAATCAACTAAGATGTGAAGTAAGAAGCAACTACACAGAGGAATTTAATTATCTAGAGACTGCACATTTTGCAAGACTCCAATTTCGAGATGCAACAGTCACTTATTTCAGGAGCCTGTAAACATAGTCTAACAGGTGGGAGACATTAATCACTTGCCAGGACAACTGCCACTAGCAATAATAGCAGCATGCATATTGATATCATGTTTTACAGTAACCAAGGGATCCAACTGCCCAATGTCATGGACAGACGTGCATTACTCCCATACAATCAGATGGGGAACTGAAGCAAAGAGCACAAATGACTTGTAGAAAAACTATACCTCAAACTGGCAACAGAAACATGAACTCAGAATATTCCAACTCCAAAATGTGTGCTTATTCCTCTGGATCATGTTTTCTGCGCACTTATCTTCGACCCTCCAAGTTCTATTTCCAGCACTATCACTGATTTATTGTCAGCCCTGGCAAGATCAGCCTTTGCATACTTTCACTTCCCTCATTTGTATGAATGCAGTAAGACTTCAACAGCATTGCTGAAGTGCTCCGAGATCAAATGGAAGATTCTGTATATAAAAGAGGTCCCAGCCCGACCAGAAATAATGGAACACTACACAATGGGACCTTTGATTTTTGCCCAATGGCCTCTACTATACAGAGTTCCAAGCATAGCCAATTCCATCTTTAAGTACTAGTTAGTGCAAAGGCTTCACTTTGGCCCTGCTGGATTTAGTTTTATAATACAGATAACCATAACCACATCCATGTTTGCAGAAGTCTGGTGGCAGAGTGGTTAGGGTGTTTTGCTATGGCATTTCAAGCCCTGTTCCACACTGTCCCCAGTTTACCTGGCTGCGAATGGAAGCAAGACCCTTCAAAATGGGGAGCTAAAAGCTGGCTTGATGCAATGCTAGCCACACTCCTTTGTGTGCTGCTGGTTAAAGAAAATGGAGTTCCTTTAAAGTGCTAACACTATGGGTGTCTAGGCTCAACAAGATATTTGCCTTTAACCTTGATCTCTACATAGTATTAAGAGCAGGACTACAGTATAACCTCATAATTCCAGATTTTTGGTATCTGGATTTATCAGAAATCTAGCACTCCTTCTCCTGCTCCCCCGGATGTGGAGGGGGAAGCTTGCACATGGTGGCTGCTGCTGCCATTCACCACCCCACACTGCTGCTTCATGTGTGGCCGTTGCACCAGTTTATAAGAATCTGGCATTTTTAAATTTCTGGCAAGTGCTCGGCCCCAAGCATGCCAGATTTATGGGGTTGCACTGTAGTATGGAGAGAAAGAGACAGGAATTCTGCACATCTGTGAAGAGGCAGAGCATAAACCAGACAGTTTAGAAATACGCTTTGTGCTCCGATGTACAGGAGTCTGTAATTAAGTTTAAGACCAACACAAAAACAAAATTTCCCTCAGGAGAAAAATAAATGTAAAGGGTAAGCACAACTGGTTACCTGTTGCCTGGCAAAGTAACCCTTCACCAGGGAGCCCATGATTTGCTGTGGAGACTTTGCAGTGCAAATGTGTGGAGTCACTGGATTGGTAAGTACCCTTTCAGCATACCGGATCCAACCTAGAATTATGGAAAATAAAAAGATAGCAATAAGGGGAGGACTTGGAATAGGAAGAAGAATCCCAGCAGGATAGCGGTGGTGGCTCCTAATCAATAGGTTTCTTATAGTATTGACACAGACTGCTGCCTAAAATGGCTTTGATTAATCCCCCCCCCCGCCATGTTATTTAATCTACATATAGAACTACTGTGAAATGAATTACTTATTAAATCCCGTCTAAATGCACAAAGAGAACCTCTGCTGGGGATTCAGTTAATAATGAACGTAAGCCGACATGCTAGGCATCAGACAGTCAGACGTGGGCAGCATTAGTAAGCGACGATCTATGAGCTGGATGTCTAGCTGTAACTGTTTTCTACATTTCAGTGTTCAAATGCACACCTTCCCTTCTTCAGAACAAAGTTAAATGGAACACCAACTAAAACTACATTTCAGACAGTGAGCTTGGCAAAAAAGTCAGGCTTTGCTGCTGGTATGTATGAGCCTCAAATGTACTTACTCTGCCTCTCTAAAGAAAGAAAACTAACAACTCAAAGACAACCACACCACATATACACCCTTTTGATGCATGTACTTAGCGGCCTCTATTATCACAGCATGAGACCCTCAGTGTTTACTGTATTTATCCTCATGACACTACACCTTCAGGGCTCAAGGCAGTAAGTACTCCTCTCCATTTTGCAGAGGAATTGAGATGGAGACATAAGGCAATATGCTCACCCCCCCCCAAAAAACAACAAAAAAAACAAACAAACCCCACACAGGAATAGGTATTGAACCCTGGATTCTCATCTTCTATGCTAGTGCCCAAAATTGGATCATTAAACAGTGCAGAATGATTAGGCCCAGGGTCATATCTTGGCACCACAGGCAACACATTTCATGACAGACAAGCCCTTCATTTCTAAACAGAACAGAGTGCACAAGAGATAAAAATTGCTACGGAGTACATACTACTGCAAAATGTTCAGCTTTTAAATGGGTAAGCTTAACATTTGGGGACAACAAGGAAACACCGTTGTAAATTAAGACTAATGCTACTGATGCAGGAACATCAAATGAAGAGATGCTTGGGCAAACAATGGGAGATAAGAGTTGTAATCATGATGGTACTCAGACTGTTTACCTCATGTGTATGCCAAGGAAGGGAATGTAATGCATGGGGGCCTTTTATAGGTGGTAGAAGGGGTGGGTACATTAGAGGAGAGTTAGCCATCACCCTCCTTGTTTCCAATTCTGGTTAGAGCAAAGAAAGATCATGACATTAAAACAGGGCTCATCTGAGATCTTAATGGGCAGGTGTCTGCTCCATTAACTTGCATGCACTTGGGTAAATTCATCTCTGCCCCTGAGAAGCCAAGGACCAAATTATTTATTTGCACAGCACATGGACACTTACTGCCAAATGTGTAAAGTAGCAGCTTGTGCTGTGTTTCCCTAACATTATACCTTATTTCAACCAGTACATTCGGGTTTTTTTTTTCCTCCCTTTTTCTCTTTCTTTCTTTTTTGCCTTGAGTAAAGTCATATCAAGAAAGTATGGAATATGGGGGTTTTTTTATGCTTGGAATAGACAATAGATTACTAGCACTACAGTGAAGTAGTTCAGTAAGTAACATTAAAAAAGTGCCATACAGATGGCACATTAAAAAGGAAGCTTTCATTTTAGGTAAGAAATCTTTCTGTCTGTTGATACTTCAAAAGAGTTCTCAGAAGGGCCTATCCTTAAGGATGAGGTATGATTTTCATTGCTCATTGCAATGCCGTGCCTAGAAAGCTGGTTTTCAGAATCTAAATGTTGTGACTATGATAGTCACACAATCCCCAGTGGTATTTCATTAAATTCCAAGAGGCTGGTGCCAGCAAGAGAGGCCCCAGTTGTTTCATGTGCTGTTCTACCATTGCGAAGAAATGCAAGGCCATTAGTTCCAGCTTCACTGTGAGCTTCAGTCATTGTTTAGTTATACAAGCAGCCTTCATGAATGAGCCACACAAAGCTTTATCTGCATTTCCCAGATGCAGAAACAGTTTCTGCATACTTAATCAATAGGGCCAAGTTCCAGAGCCAATTATAGGAAATCCAAAGAAACTGACTGATTCTTACTGGGCTGCCTATACATGTAGACAGATGTGCACTCATTTCTTCATGCTAATTCTAGGTCATATTCTGGTTTCTATTAGCTTCAAAGCACAATTCAGTCAGATTTAAAAAAAACCAAGAATTAGTGTACTGATGCTTCCAGACAATTCACAGAATATATACAGCAGATAATATTGAAAATAATATGCAAAGTAGCCCAAAATGTGCACAATGGACATTGCTACACATTGCTTCCAACTACAGAAAAATCCCAACATACACTTATTCCTATTGCAGCTCCACACTCACTGAGGTAGGAGCAAGGATGGATAAGGTTGGCTGGGTCACCACTATCTGTACGGGCCTGAGCTTTTTGCCTACTGTACTGCCCATTCTAGCCTCCTTCACTAAGGATCAGCCAAGTGTGAGAGCTGTTTCAGGCTAGCTGAGCATTTCATGCCATTCATGGATCAAACTGACCAGTTAAGAAACAAAATGAATAAGGTCTGAAAGCAATTTAATCTTTATTGTGTGCACAGCTGATAGCTTCATCTTCATGCCCTGAACAGGGGGAGGGTAGAGGATCATAAAAATGCAGGGTGGGGGATGGAAGAGAGATCCCAAGCTCCAAGAAGATAGCAAAGGAAAAAAGTTACATTAGGCATCCATGGGGTCTGCTACTGAACACTGCATGCTTTTGAGCAAAGGAGATCATTAGTGCAAAGTCACAGGTTGCTATAAATCAGCTTAGTATCAGTGTTCTTAAGGACATATTTTTCCACAGACTGAACTTATGCCCTAAAAGAAAAAAGTGAAGCTGGGGTTTTGTTTTGTTTTTTTTTCTTTTGTTGTTGTTGTTTTTTTAAATAGCTCTGTAAATACAAGGTCACTGCAGACCAAGCTATAATAGTTGTGTGAACACATCCAGAAACAGACAACTTCTGGGTCAATTTATGCCAAAGGTTCATAGGAAGAAAAAAAAATGAAATAAAACAGCAAAATGCATGCTCTACATATTCAGGGGGCAACTGATTCCGAGGTTTCCCTTCTTTCTACTGTGAATAGCAATAAGACTTAGCACTTACATGTTCAGGATGCATCCACCACAGTATTTTGGCACCAGTTTTCTAGTAGAGCTGCTGAAAATGCTAGTACCACAGAGTCCCAAGAATCAAAGCAGTTGTGTAACCCCAGGAACAGGTACCAGGTTTTGCGGCATGGACAAAAACATGAAGTGCCCCAATTGATTAGTTGTTTCATAACATCCTTGCGAGGTGGGTGCATTATTTATACCTGTTATTTGTAGATTGGGAAATAACAAAGAAGTTTCCCATGGATCAGTTTTAGTGTAAAAATCTCATTCATGTTCCACTAGGAAAATCCTCAAGATTTTCCTGCGAGTCTACTGTATAATTAGAGCACCAGATCCTGCTCCTGAGGAAGCCAACGGCAGGCAGATCAGATTCCAAATCATTCTTTTAAAAACTCTGTGAAAAAAGGTGGACCTGAGCGTTTAAAGGTTTTGTTTTAGTTTAAAACTTTGCAAGGCAAACACCACATACAGGATGTCGGCTTATGAACGTAGAAGGCAACTGCAACTTTCTTCATAACAGAAAAAAGTGAAAGGACATTTTTCTCTGGATAGGTGCAACTCCGAGATACACTCTGGGTACGTCTACTGGAGGGCAGGCAGAAGCAAGCCACATGATAAAAGATACTTTCCTTTAAGTGACAAAGGAAAAGTATAAAACTTAAGATATTAATCTATGAAAAATGATCTGCCCAAGTATTTTACATTAGTGACAATGGCAGAGTACGGAGGGTAGCTATGTCCCTTTCCAGAGGGTAGCTGTTCTGCTTCACCCTTCAGCTCTTTCAAAAGTACTCTCCAACAACAAAATCCACTTAATTCATGCAAATTGATATTAAGACACCCAAGCACCTCAAATAGCTTCTCAAAATACTAGTTTTGATGAAGATACCATTTCTGCTCTGTTGACATGTACAATTAAGAGTGGCTGACTATGCAGGGAAACTAATTATGACTCTACAAAGTACTGTCAAGGGCAGAAAGTAAAAAAGTTGGGGGAAAAGGAAAAACATTACCCGCTGCTAACTTTTTTTTACTTCTCATAACTGCAAGCATTACTTGTGGCAATGATGGGCATAACATTCTCAGAGATATCTAGCATCTTCTTTCTGTATCACGCAGTCAACAAGAAGAGTTTCACTTCATGGTTTCCTTTTACAAGAGAGCATATAACAAGTTCTAAGATGTAATGGGAGCCATGACTTTTAATAGAAGTACTCAACAGAACTAGGTTTTCCTTCATGGTTCCTTTCAATAAGGAAAAATTAATTAAAAGAAACAGAAGGCACAGCTAAACCATCCAAGAGAAGCATGATCTAGTAGGGGAATGCTGTATTCTAGGCACAGAGAGCCAGGAACTCTAATCGTGGCTCTTGCACCCCTTTCCAGAGGTCTTGGACAAGTCATTAAAGCTTCTCCATACTTCAGTTTTCTTATCTATAAAATGAAGTAACCAACAGTTTACAGTCCCCATATCTGCCTTCACAGGGAGCATGCTGAATCAGCAAATGCTTTATCCAACGTGGTCACACCCTCTTCTGGCCTGTACAGTCCACTTCTGTGGCTGGCCTGACTCCCTGGCTGATGGGGGTGGGGCTTGGCAGTACCAGATCTCTGCCCCTCAGATATATTTAAGCTGTGATGATAGAAATGTGAGCCAGGGCCATACCCAGCACTATGTTCATAAAGAGTTTTGAAAGATGAACAGCCCTATTGGTACTGGGGACTGTTACAGCAAAGGTAGGAGGATCACTATAAGGTTTTGAAAACATGCAACAATGCCTAACATTTTACAAGCTATAAAAAGGTACCCAACTGGAACTGCATCACTTTCACAGCAGTCTACATAAGGTTACTCTGGGTTGCACTTGGGGACTGATTTCTCACCAGGGCAAGCAGAGGCAAACATCGGTAAGGCATGCTCCTCCTGGTTCCGTTGGCGATAGCGCTGCACAAATTCTTTCTGGCTCTCCAGGATGCTGAAGTCAGCAGCTATAGTGGTGTCAAATACATAATGTACCCCTTGAAACAAAACAAGGAAAAGGTGAATAATATTCTAAGAATTAATTCATCATCTCACAGACCTTCTATAATGCAGGTTTGTCAGTGAAATAGTGTACAAGACCTCCTTGCCCAGTAGATTTAGATGCAGTTGTAACACTGGCAGCCGACTTTAATAGTGAGAAGCACATGGCTAAGCATGTATCAAATCTATTTAAAAAAGAACTACTGATTGGTTTAGTATTAAACTCGCTTCAGGGTTGGAGGAAAACATACTTCCTTGCCTTTTGACATATACTGTTTTTTCACTATTAAGTACAAGTTAGCTCAAAAAACCATCAGGATTACTGGCAGCGATTTTATTTTTTTAAAGAAAAATAGTATTCCTTTAGAACTAGTATTTTAAAGTACACACTCGCACTTTTCTGTATAGATTTATATCCCTGCAGTGGGCCCACCTGCCACCGCTTCACATGCCTACATATTTATACACGTAAAATACAGATGTGCATCAAGGCATCTTTGACAAGGGAGAAGAGACTGACATCATATATCTGAACTTTAAAAAAAGGCCTTTGATCTGGTGTCCCATGACCTCCTCATGGAAAAATTGGCCAACTGTGGCCTTGGCTATACCACAGTCCGATGGCTGGGAAATTGGCTCGGACGTCGGACCCAGAGAGTAGTGGTCGATGGCAACAAATCATTATGGCGCTCCATGACCAGTGGCATCCCCCAAGGCTGTCTTTGGACCAGTTTTCTTCTACATCTGACACCAATGTCCACATGGTTGATAAAGAAATGCACTGGCCAAGTTTGATGATGACACTAAAAACTTTGGGGCATTGGGTCCACACCTGAGGACAGGCTAGTGATCCAGGCCGACTTGGATAAGCTTAGTAAGTGGGAGGACAAACCTGATGATGACTTTCAATACCAATAAATGTAAGGTACCCCACCTCGGTGGAGGGGGACCCACAGCATACTTGTAGGCTCGGCAGTGCTATGCTTGCTAGCACCACTGCTGAAAGAGATTTGTGGTCAGTCATGACCCCCAAGATGAACATGAGCCACCAACGCGATGTCTCAGCTGGCAAAGCAAACAAAACCCTGGCTTGCATCCATAGATTCTTCTCAAGTAAATCTCAGGATGTCATCCTCCCACTGTACTCAGCTTTGATGAGGCCGCAGCTGGAGTATTGCATCCATTCTTCTTGAATTGTGGGGCCCAGAATTGTTGAGAAGCTTGAGAGAGTCCAGAGGAGAGACAGGCGCATGATCAAAGGGCAAGAGAATAGGCTTTATGAAGAGAGGCCGAGAGCCATGGGACTCTTCAGCCTGGAAAAGCAAAGGCTTGGGGGGGGCGGGAAATGACACAGCATGGGACAGGACAGGACAGGACAGGACAGGACAGGACCTGGTGGCTGCCTACAAGTACATAAGGAGTGTGCATCAGGATCTGGGGGAATGTCTGTTCACCAGAGCACCCCAAGGAAAAACAAGGACCAATGGTCAAACTCCTACAAGACCATTTTAGGCTTGACATAAGAAAGAATTTCTTTACTGTCTGGGCCCCCCCAAGACCTGGATCAGTCTCCCTCCAGAAGTGGTGCAGGCTCCTACTTTGGACTCATTGAAGAAATGCTTGGATGTGAATCTTGCTGGGATCCTTTGACCCTAGCCAACTTCCTACACCTGGGGGGGGGGGGGGGGGGGGCTGGACTTGATGATTTTCGAGGTCCCTTCCAGCCCTAACGTCTATGAAAATCTTCTGGCCTTTGTGCTTTTATACACTTGTATACTATTGGCCATGTCACTGAGTCTAAAAAGACTTTCACAAATAACATAAAGCTATTTCAAAAAGGAAAAAAAACTGGAGATCATCAATATTTTAAGTGTCCCTTTAAACAGAAAAAGCCCCTTTTGTTTTGTTTTTAAATAAAAAAAAGTCAGTTGTACACAATGGTTGTTATGTGAAAAAGTATTGTGGTAAAAAACTATTTTTTCTTCCAGTGCAAATATTAAGAGCTATAGGTAGAGACAGCTTTAGTATACCATAATGTACAGAGGAAGTTTTAGACTCATGTGATGAGACAAGACAAAGCAGCATTTTAATACTAAGAAAGCAATCCTTGGAGAAGGTTATTTCAACTAGCAAGAACTAAGGCAAGGAAGCAGGACTTTAAGAATCTTTTTTTTTTTTTTTTCTGGGGGGGGGGGGGGGGGGGGGAAGAAGGGTTGTGCAGGGGTCCTAAAAAGTCTCAGAAGTTGTGAGAGTACAGGGGGTAAAGATTCCTCAAGTAAGTGTTACAGGGTGAAAATCTTGCCTTCACTTTAGTCCATTGACTTCAGTGTGGTATTACACTCACAGCTAGGAAGTAATTCCTAGCATTATTTTGAATGTCTTTTCAATAAAGTAAACTTCCCAGTTTCCTTCAGGTCAATTACTCATAGCTAGGGCTTCCTTCTGCATCTGCTTGAGCAATGGTTCCCATGTTACACTACCAAGATGGGACAATAATTCTCCCTTTATCTGATGCCATATTTCTAGATTAAGACCTAGACATACCACTTTTTTTTTTTTTTTTTTTTTTTTTTTTAAGCTGTTAGCAACTATTTCTCTCTCCAAAGTTCTGTAATGCATAACCGTTTCACCAAATGGTACCACATTGCTTCCAGGACACGTTTTTCTGTGTACTACATGCATTTTAAGTTTACGTTCCATAGTGATAATAAAAAAAAAACAAAAAACACACCTCTGAGAAAGTCCTATAGGTGAGCTTAAGCCCACCTACAAGTCCTCTTTCATAAAGAGGAAAATGTAATTCTGCTTCAAAAAAGCCAAAACCCTCCCAGGAATTCTGCATTTGCAATGCCCTGCTCCAAAGAGACCATTCATTATATTAGTTCTCTACAAAATCTAGGGTTCTCATCCACCTCTAACAGGGAAGAGATAAATCCTTTTTCCACAGCATTTCTGCTATTTTCTAGCTTAATTTTTCTTAAGCAGAACCATTTTAGCACTGCTTGCAGACTATTCATCAGTTATCAGTACACAGTAGAGTATGATTATACTTTCTATTCTATATTCCTGTTCTGAGTTATCTATAGTTGTTCATTTGAGCCTTCCTTATCCAAAAGTAGTCTTAGGAGCTTCCAGTTCTGAAATTTTACTTTCAAGATGTGGGAAGCAGAAGGGGGGGGAGAAGGAAGTCTGATTTTGTACATTCAAGAAGAGAAGAATAAGTCTTAAAAATCAGAAAGCTACTTTAGTCCAAGCAGGACCAATTTGCACTACAATAAAATAAGATGGGGGAATTACAGTCTGTTTACCCTTTCCAGGTTTGCTCAGAATTAGTATCAACAATCCAAACCTTGAGCACAGGATAAACATGTGCATGCATGAGCGAGACAAAACAATTAAAGAAACAAATGTGAATTAGAAACAATGGCATAGAAAGATCATTTTGGAAGATAAATCAGTAGCGTCTTTAAGTTTGTTGCTCACACCAGCTCTCTACTGATTTTAATGCATTTCTACAATAGCTGTTGTAACAACAACCATTAGAGAATACATCATTTATATTTAATTCTAGACGAATTGCATAACTGCATGGCTAGGCACTACAGTAGAATTCTTTGAAGGAACCAAACAAGCAATCTAGAGTAGGGATGTCAAACTCATCTAGTTCTGCAGGCACATAATGCAGGACCCAGACTGGCTGGAGCACTGAATGAGGTATTTCCCCTTTTAGGGGAGGGGGCTGGTGAGCCAGATCTGGTCCCAACACAGGTGCATGCCATATGGGTCTGATCAGACCCAGTGGCAGCACCAGGGCCTAGATGATGGAACACTGTGGGCCGAATCCAGCCTGCAGACCTTATGTATGACACCCCTAATCTAGAGTATCCCCATTGCATTTTCCCACCATAATAATGAATCTGGACTTACCGAGACTTTTGAGAAAGCCACAAAGTCTCTTGGCTGCATCATTTACAGAGATATTGAATTTAGCAGCAAAATAAGGCAATGATTGAGGGCATATAGACACTGCCAAAACTTTGTGTTTTGAGACATCACATTTCTGGAAAACAAAACAAGAAGTGTCCCCAAAAAAAAAATCCAACAAATGGGTGATAACAACAGTTTAAAAAGGTTCCTCATCATCCTCTCCTGGTCAAGAGTCACTCGGAGATTTCCCATCTTTAAACAAATGAAAAACCCTTGTTAAGCAATTATGTTTCTTTTTGAAATATGAAATAACTCTTCTTTCTGATTTTCTTAATGCTGAGCAGTAAGTCAGCAGAAGTTGTTGCTGCTGTTGACCTATCCTTGCTAGGACAATGCTACCCTTGCCCCAAGGACCACACATACAGAAACAGCATACCAAGAGAAAGCCTGATGTTTTGCAAAACAGCTGAATATGCTCTAGCTGTTAACTAGACACTTCTGCAAATGTTAATCTAAACACTTAACATTTGTCAAGTGTGGAGATCTGAATCTAGTTTAAGGATTTGATCCTACAAAATGTTCAGGGGCATTGACTTAAACTCCTATTGAAAAATGTTTAAGCAGAACTGGAAACCCTTCAATAAACCCAACTAACACAACTCAACCCAGCCCACAACTCTGACCACAATCAAGTGACTCTGAAGAAAGATTGATGAGTAATGAAAACAACACACATTGTCCCCATGGGGACATGATGCCCATTATGAAGTTTCTTCACCAGTACTCGTGAAAGCTAAACAGGCACAAGCAGGAGGAGATACCATGAAAAAATCCTGCAGTAGAAGAATGCAGGTGACTAGGTAGAAATTAGGGATAGAAGGTAACAATGATTCTACAGTATGCACAGTCATAACATACTATCTGTAGAGAATCACAACAGTTCTAAGAAGGCATCTAGAAACACTTTTTTCTTAAAAAGACTATTCACATTTAAAATGCTTAGATACCTCCAACAGGTGAAAAATAGCTGGAGCTTATTGGGCGAGAGTACAACAGCCTGGAATGGTACCTAAATCAGTACTGAAGACGGTACTCAATCTGCTGGTCTTATTATAAAAGGCTACCAGAGAACTTGGCAGAAAAAGGTCAGCTTTTATACAGTACAGAGGCAGAACTTATGACTCTGCTTTTCTTTTAGAGCAGGGTGGGGGCAAGGAGTTGCAAAAGGAAAGGGAACCTCAGCTTCCCCTCCCCCCCAAAATAAAGACATTTCAGTTAGGTTTGAAAATATTCAGGGCTTTCACACACTCAAATCAGTTTTAAATTTAAAAATAAAACAAACCTCAGGTTCTGATAACTGATTATTTTGCACTTTTAGTATAGTCATGCTATAAAACTAAAGAAAAAAGAAATTCCTTAAGCGCTCCAGAAGGGTATATTTAACAACAATTACAGCCATGGAATAACCATGCTTTTTCAAATATCTTTTTAGATGTGTAGCTACATTATCTCTCCCAAGATGCAGTTTCATGGGTATGACCTTGTCTCCACTGCTGAAGTGCTTTAAATGCTACACTACTTGGGTCAACTTTAGTACTCACTTCCTCTTCACAGGGAGCCCTGATTTGTCAGATTATACTGACCATTTCTTGCCTTGGGGAAAGGAATTGCTTAGTCATTCTATCAAATCCTCCCTCTCATATAAGACACTGCATGCTTTTTGTTACTTACCTTGTTAAGGTTGAGTATGCGGAAAAGCTCTTTCTGATTCTGTTGGAAAACCCTAACTCCTTCTTCAGATGTCATACAATTGTCACAAGCTAGGCAGTCACTAAGGAATATTTTAGCATTAGCCAACTTATGGAACTCATTTTTCTGAAAATAAAAGAAAGCTTGGTGAGTAACTTTGAGGATCTTTGCACCAATACATTTAAGCTGCAAAAGTGGTTCTGTTATTTGGTCTATAAACACAAAACTGCTCACTTCAGAGATACTGCCAGACTGCTTGAAAAAAGTTCTTCAAGTCAACAAGACCCATTCCAAGGAAACAGTGTATGAGATCAAACTAAGTATGAGATCTATGGCAACATCACTTCTTTTATTATAATTAGAGAATTTCTAGGTGGCTCTCTGCACTGATAATAAAGCTCAGTCTTCTTGCATAGAAAGTCTGATGTACTGCATGTGCACTTTGAATGATCTCATGGGCTTTTACCAGTGTAAAAGGGTTTTACTTTTTTTTTTTTTTTTTTTTT